GATTGAGGAAAGCAACCAATTTATTGACATTTGAAGAAGAAGAAATTGGAACGTTAAATCATGAAAATTGGAGAATGAGAAATAATCGTCATTCTGTTTCATTGAGAAGAGAAAACCGCGTTTTGTTAATTGAGAAAAGAAATAAAGAATTAAGTGCGGCAGAACATAAGAAAAAAAAAGACCTAATATAAATACATATATATACATATATATAAGTAAAAAATTAAAAATTGGGGCCCCCTTATAATAATGGGCCCTGGGCAGAGGCCCAGCTCGCCCTGCACCAGGGCCGGCCCTGTATATATATATATATATATATATATATATATATATATATATATATATATATATATATATATATATATATATATATATATATATATAATCCTAAAATTTAATATAAGAAGGAAATATCTAATGAAAGGACCCCCTATATATGTTGTCAGGCCATGTGAACAAGTTATGGAACACGTTCTTAGCAATTACTCAATTAATGCTTGGAAAATAATTAATGCCAATTATTATCTCATGAGAAAATTAAAATACTAGGTAAAAAAAAAAACTTCAAGTGTAGACAATGACAATAGCCCTTTGGCTTTTGGTAAAAGACACAATAGAAACTATGCATAAATAATTATTTTATTTTATTTGATGAAAGCCTAGCTTTCGTATTATTGATGTCGTTTTCGTTTTCTTGTAATACGCATCGTTTTTTCTTCGACTAACTAGGCCATTTTACATTATGATTAAATGAATGTTTGATGAAAAATAAAATAAAATTGGTAAATTACGGCCAAATTACGAAAACACCCTAATGTTTGGGTAATTACAACCACCCTTCAACTATGATTCTTCTTACACGTTCACTTAAATTCCACATAATCTTTTAGATTTTGTGAAATGTTCTCTAATTTGTACTCGTTTTGCACAAAAAAACAGTTTCAGATACACCACAGCCTGATATTTACAAGCCAAGAGACATATCTTATGATTATCTTGTTTTAAAATGTGGAGCTAGAATAGGATAAAACGGGTACAGACTGAAGAATATTCCTCAAGAACATTACAATAAATTTGACATCATAAGGGTGGACGTGTAAGAAAATACATACTTAGGAGGTGGTTGTAATTACCCAAAAAATAGGGATTTTTTTCGTAATTTAATCTTACCTCAGGACGTGGCCGTAATTTACCCAAAAATAAAATAAATTCCAACCTCTTTGCATTTCAAGAAGAAAAACAACAAAAAGGCACAACAAGAAGGATGTTTGAACAAAAAGTTTAAAGGGCAAAAGGGACTTTAAATTTAACCAAAAAACTCATATAAATATCTAGTTTATTGGTAGTAGTAAAGTAGATTAGTGTATTCTCTCTCTAATTCAAATCAAAGTGTTATTACAAAACGACAATAAAAATTTGTGGTTAATATATCTTATCCTCTAATAATAATAAAGACTGATTTTTTATTTAATTTTTAAATATAAATTAAAAAATGGGCATGTTTACATAATCACCAAATTAAGAGCACCAATTAATTCAAAGCTCCAAACATATATATAGATTAATTAATGATATCTAATAGTTATCAGATTTTCAGAGATTCAATAAATAAAAATCAACAATTAAATTCAAATTGTTTTTTTATTCTGACCTGAATAGGGTTGAGTTTTCTGAGGTAAAACATCTCGGCAGATTCAGGAACGCCCCCAATATTTCTGCCCATCTTTCTGCACGCGCGTGAATCCCTAATGCAGGACCTGATTTTGCCCCAGTAACTATCACTCGCGACCCGATCCGAGAGCCAACCCGAGTAGTCCTAGAGTGAGTAGTCGAGGTAGGCCCGGTTCATCACGGACTGGCCGGAACCCTTGCCGGTGGCGGCGTAGGCGAAGATGACGAAGCCGAGAAGGGTGGCGATGATGATGAACATGGCCCACAGGTAGAGGTACATGAGGAAGTTGTTCCGGTAGCAGGCGCCGGCGAATCCGGCGAGCGAGACGACCATGATGGAGACGCCGATTATTATGAGCGGCCACTGGAGGAACTTCAGGCAGTTGGTGTTGTTCGCGCGGCTGCTCAGCCATATTCCGCCGCCAAGGATGGGTATCGACAGGACGAAGGTGAGGAAGTTCAGGGCGCCTATTAGGTGGTTGCTCGTTCTCATAGCGGCGGCGGTGGCGGTGGCGGTGGTTGTGAATTTTTTTGAAATTTAATTTTGTCTTACAAGAGAGAGAGAGAGTATTTATTGGGGAGCAGATATATAATGGGAAAAAAGCTTTGGGGAAAATCAAAATTTGTGGGAAACAGAGATAAGCATGCTTTGGTACACAGTTAATGACTAAATTACCCTCTGCAGAATGAGTGATTTACTGATTTTGTTTAAATTTTGGTTTAATGGCACTTTGCCCCCCAACTATCGTGTGTTTTGCACGTTATCTCTGGACAAAAAACATTTACAACATTTTACCTAAATTGTGCACGGTGCCTCCGTTTTACTAATTCAGCTCATTTCTCGCCGGAATTGTCCACATGTGCGTCACATGTCCATTCACTTCAAGTTTTTTAGGGCAAAAAGAAGAAAACAACGTGGGGAAATAGAAGTACGAATAAATTTGCAGTGAATAGACGTTTATAGCCTAAAAAACCCATATGCAGACCAGAAATGAACCGAATTGGTAAAATTGAGGCACCGTGCAACAATTTAACGAGTTCAGGTAAACTTTTGTATATCTTTTTGTTAAGGGGGTAACGTGCAAAGCACGCGATATTTTAGGGGGCAAAGCGCCATTAACCCTTAGATTTTTGTTGAAACAAATTTTTACAAAGAAATGACTAAATTACCCTTTGAAAATTGTTGTATCCACCAAATTCAATGCAAATAAGAAGTGTGTCCCTGAAAATCGAGCATATTTCCTGGAAGTAAAATGTGGAACTAAAAAGGATATTTTCAAAAATTACTATTATTGCCTATTAAAAACCACTTAATTGTTTGTGACCCCACCATACAAAAATAGTTGCACATGCATATGAGTTTCTCCCATGCAAAGAAGGTCAAGTGGTCGGTGGTTAGAAACAGTGGGTCCCATTAAGTAATCATTTAAAATTATTACTATGTTGAAACTCTTGCGACAATGATCAAAATTAATAATCTACTCTTTTTTAATATAATTAAATTAATAATCTACTTGATAATTAATAATACTATTCAATAATTTGATATGAAGTTATCAGCACTTTCAAACCATAGTTTTGCAAAGACTTTAAGGCGTGTTTGATGCCTTACAACCTTAAAAAATTTAAAATAAATGAAAAATATTTAGTAAATGTTGCGTTATTCAGTACAGTTATGGTATACTGGACATCAATACCGTATACCGTACTAATACCGAAATTCAAAACAAAATATATTAGTGTTGATTTATATTATAATTAAATTGTACAATCTTATTCGAATCTTAATTGAATTATCAGATTGGACTTTAGAAAAAATATCTAGGCATCCATCAATAGTTAGAAGCCCAATTCAGAAAACATATATTATTTCTGGCCCAAATTTATCTATAAATTACAGAAATTCTAGGGCTTCAAAATCCACAATTCAGCCGCACAAACCCTAATCTGAGATTCACGGCAGAACAAGAAACTGAGAGACACACAAAGCTGCAAGCTTTCGAGCTATACGTGTTTGTTGTATCGTTGAAAACTCGAGCAGTCCTCGATCTTCTTTTGTAAGTTCTTGTATTAACTGAAGCTTGAAGATTTTCTAAATCTTCTTTTTTATTTTCTTTTGTCTTGGTGAAGCTTTGTGAATAAATTTTGTTTTGTTGATATGGTGTTTGTGATTTAGCCCCTTTTGGATTTATTTTTATTAGAAAAGGCCGTGGATGAATTATTTGAAGAAATTGTTTATTGTGCATGCTAGGTGTTTGATGAATTGATTTGTGGTATTATTATTGTAAAAAGTCCATCTTGGCAAATCAGTTGAGCCTTTTTAAGGGCAAATGAGCTGCTTTGAATGCTAATGGACTAATATTAAATCTCTCTCTTTCTCTTAACTATTTTTCGCTTCTTCAAATCTAAAAAGTTTGCATATTAGTCGAGATGAAACATATTAAAAAAATATTGAATAGTTGTTTGTTGAAATTGTAAATCTTTTGTATGCAAGGTGTTTGATGAATTGATTCTTTGGTGTCGAATTTATTTTTTTCTAGTCCATCTAGGCAAATCAGTTGAGCCCTTTTAAGGGCAAATGAGCTGCTTTTGAATGCTAATGGACTTACAGCTAAATCATCTCTTCAGTTTTGTTCCTCACCACTCACCGGAACACAGTTACCGGTAACCACCGCCGCCACTTCCGGCCGTTCGACGTCCTCAGCGAATCCCCTATTCAATTGAAATCACGCGTTTCAGCGTTCGTCGTCCAATTTTGACCGGAAAAGCGGCGATCGAACGCTACTGCAGCGGCAATTGAAATTTGAGTCTTCAATTTTAATGTAAATGGATTTCATCTCACATTTACGATCTAAAATTGAGTGAAAGTTCCTTACACTGGGTTTTGGGCAGTTGCGAGTTGAGTTTGTTCCCTTCGGGCATCGATTTCTAAATTTATTCCCAACCAATCATTTTTCTCTGTGGTGGATTTGAATAATTGGAGTTGTTGATGTGAACAGAGTAGTATAGCCCACCTAGATGGTATTGCCATCGGAAGTGGCCCGGAATTGTGCATTCATATGGAATTAAGTGTTAGATTAGATTACAACATTCTACGATAGATTAAGATCAGTGGGATAACCTTCTCAATCTGGGCAGGTTGTTTTATTCTACGTAAATGCGCAGCTCGTTTTCTAGTTTAACATTGGTTTTTTTTTGGACATGGTTTTTTATGTGTTCGGAGATGTTTTCAGTGCATTCAAACGTCTAATTTGGCGTGCTATTAATTGTACAATTACAAACAGTGGTTTCAACTATGCCACGAGGAAGCTTTTTACCTTTTCACCGTAATGAAATGCATCAAGATTGTAGGTCAAAATAGCTGCGTAAAAAAAGAGGAAGAGCTGTGGGATTACATGTCGTCCAAGAGAGTGAATTTCCCGGTTCTGTATAAAGCGTATTCGCATCTTCGTACGAAGAACTGGGTGGTTAGGGCGGGGTCTCAGTACGGAGTTGACTTTCATTCCACTCTTAATCTCTGTGGCAGTGTTGCAAAAACGTTGTTGGTTCTCCACATTAGCAGAAACTGTAACGATTTTGACGGTGCTAGTTCTTCTCCTTGGAATATTAATTATTACAGCGTCGAGGAAAGAATCGTTGCCAGGTGGAATCGCGAGCAAAGCCGGGAGAATTGTACGGTTGTAGAGAAGGAATCGTGTAAGTCGTCATAAGCTTAACTTAACTCCTGTTTATTGTACCAGTTACTATGTTGTAAGATTTCGCCATCTTGTATAAATAAGAGATTGCTGCAGAAATTGGTATGCTGATTTTGGGCAGGAATCTGCTGCATGCACTGTATCTAAGTAAAAGATTTGCCAGTACATCCATATCATGTACTAAATATTTTAGATTTTTTTATTTTACTTTTTATTTTTGGTTTTTCATGTGCAAATGTGATCAGGAAAAAATATTATGGAGAAAACAATATGGCAAATTATGGATACCTCCCTGATGTAAGATCAAATTACAAAAAACCATCTTATTTCAGTAATTACAACTATCCCCTCAACTATGTATAATCTTACGAAAAACCCCCTCATTCAGTAGGTAATCTTGACACCGTAAGGATGGACGTGTATTAAAGGGGTGGTTGTAATTACTCAAATATAAGGGGGGTTTTGTAATTTGATCTTACTTTAGTGGGGTGATCGTAATTTGCCCAAAATAATATAAGTAAAAACCCAAAGATTAAATACTCTCCAAAAATAAATTGAATTTGAAGTGATTAAACAACAAAATATTAATTAACACTCTTAATTAAACACCTTTCATGGATCCATGTCTACTCAATGATGCATTGTGCACATGCAGTTGCTTATAAACCTATTTTAAACACGTAACAGAATAAACAACACCCTTACGTAGTTTACATGTGCAGCATAGTTCTTAAACAGTTCCATTACAAGACACGTCATCACATTAATACAAAATATATAGACAGTGTGTTTTTTTTCTTTTTTTTTTTTTTTTCCGAAAACACCAAAAAAACTGCGAAATAACTCCACATACGCGCGTTGCTCGTAAAAATCTTTAAAATCCAAACGCACCTCTAGAAATGTATCCTACTAGGCTGCGACTTCTCCATTCTTGTCTCTCCATAAGGCTCGTCGTTATCGATCCTTTTGTTGTGCCTAAAAGCAGCACAAGCATCCACATAGAGTGTGACGAGGATTATCAAGATAACTATGTTAATAACCGACACTTTTCTCCAGCTCTTCTTCAAGCTAGCCACTACCCCTGCTTTGCAAGAATCGAACCCGTAGCATAGTTGCTCCTGGTCGTTGCTCCATTTTGTGCAATCTGTGTCGGGCCCCACGAGGCCTCCACCTGGCGTCCACACCGTCTCGTTTATGTACACGTAGCCGCATGATGTAGGCGGTTTGCAACATCCAGACTAGCACATGTAAAACCAATGTTAAGCATGCCAAGCTAAGAGTTATATTTGACTTGCCAAAAAATCTAGATTTGCTATAAAAGTCTTCATGTTATAATATTAGCAAAAGAACCCCATGGTGCATTTTTTTTAGCACACGGCCCCCCTAAATGGTGTGTTTAAGGGGGTAGTCTGCTAGTTAAAAAATAGCATCATAAATGATTTTTGCTAATATATACGTAACACGGAATCATAGGGATGCTAAATGCAATAAATTACCCCGTGTTATCCTATTAAGGCCTCGTGTGGTTGTCACAATGGAATAAGCCAAGATATACACAATCTTATTAAATTCAGATTGTATAATTAGACCAGCGGGTCCCATTAAGTCAAAATAAACAGATAAAGAGCATGGACGAAACCAAATAAAAGCCCGTTAATTAATCATGGCACAAACGAGAACTAGTTTCGAGAAATAGATACCGAGTGCATAGAAGCACGAGATAAGCAAAAATAGTATTATATGTTATATGCTTTCAAAAACTGTGTCGTTCCAATCAGCATCTCCCATTGTTTTCTTTTCCATTTAATTTTGAAGCAGCTCGACCGCGACACGCCTGCTTGATTTTTCCTTTTCATTTAACCTGCTTGTTCCTAAACAACGTCGTTTAGCTGTCTCACACATGGCCAACAATTGTTGACCTCCGCCGCTTCCATGCCCGCCACCGCCGTCGCTCTGTTCGATGCCCACCGCCCCTGCCGCCAACGTCACTTCCCACCTCTTTTTCATCCAATCGCTGATTTGTCCCTTTCCAATCACATCCGAATTGGATAACTCAGGAATTGTAAAGTCATAAATTTTACAAAGACGAGTTCCAGCCATGATTGTTGGAAGGGCAGGACTTCCGCTAGAGCTCCACCGAACAAGAAGATTCAGTCCATCAATTCTTCAATATTTTATTGTTTTAATTGCTTTTCTTCTAATAAAGCTCGGTGATGGTCGACGCTGTTTGTGTCTAACTTTGTTCAATTTTTTCCCTTTCTATAAAATTTTGGGTCAATGTTGATTTCGAGTTCCTCTTCGGGCAAGGTTAGCCCTGACACTATGTGAAATAAATTTGCATTTTTTGTGATCTTTACATGAAGATCGATGATTTTCTGTGCTGTTTGCTGGTGGGTAGAGTCATGTTGGTCGTGTGCAGACTTGGGTCGATGGGAGCTGTTGTTACTGGTAAAGGCCATGTTCCTAATGGTTGTGCCTATTGTTTTTTCGCTGTTTCATTCGTACCTTTGTTTTGTCTTCTTTTGGCCATGAAAAAAGCAGGAAGAGGGGGAGTTATACGGATATCATCATGTTTCACGATTTTCTTCTCCTTTTTTAGTATATGCAAAATTAATCGAATACTACCACTCTGCCTTTTGGTCAGAAAAAAGGATATAATCCTTTGACCTATTTGCAGCTTCTTATTGCATGTTGTTTGGTTATGTCGTAATTATATTTACTACTCATTCTTATCTCACTATACATCCTTACATTTTGATTGTTAGTCTACATATTTTTCAGGAAAGATGACACTTATTCATTGTTATGCTTCTTCTCTATGTTTTACACTGTTGTATAGACTGCACGCACTGCGTGGTTTTTTTTTACTAGCTACCTAACATGATTATATTTTTTTTCCAAAAACATATTTAGCCGCTTGTTCATGGATATAAATGAGCCCTTTAGTTTGTATTACACAACTTTATTATAACATATGCAATTTTCTCTGTCTAGATTTTCATCCTGCAGGCATTGGCGGTGATGGTCTTTTCCGCTATGGGACAAATTTCCATGAAATTGAGGTTTGGGAACCAACACATAATTGTTGTATCTTGATTTTTCAAAATGCTTGTCTACTGTGAGCTGGTGCTTTTTTGTTTCCAGAAAATTGGTTATGGAAACTTCAACCTGGTTTACAAAGTCTTGAAGAGACTTTATGGTTGCATGTATGCCGTAAAACATAGCATGAGACAAGATGCAAAAAGGTAATTTAATTTAATTTACTTGTAATAATCAGCTGCTTGTATTTACGCCACTCGCTTTTTGCAGCAAACTTATGTTTAACACTGTCACAGGTGCAAGGCTTTGATGGAAGTTCAAGCTTTGGCAGCTTTAGGTTTGTTACATTATTTTATTCTTTTTATTTTTATCCAAAGATTGAGATTTTTAAACTTTTCGATTCCCATTTTTCTCAGGGTACCACGAAAATATAGTTGGCTATTATTCTTCGTGGTTTGAAAACAAGCAACTTTACATCCAATTGGAGCTATGCGAGCATAGCCTATCTCTCGATAGAATACCTAAACTATTCACAGAAAGAGAAGCTTTAGAGGCAATGTATCAGGTGAATGATTTTGAATCTATAACGTGACGTAATTGTAGCTGATTATTAACTTTCTGTGGTTTGTTTATTTTATCTTGATGAGTTAAATATTTAATTAGAATTGTTAAAGGCTGTTAGATGGGATTGACTATGACCTTTCCCAGAGGAGATTTTTCATTGAAAAAATTGCATTCGTGCAGATTGCTAAAGCATTGCAGTTTATACACGGGAGAGGAGTAGTCACTTGGACGTAAAGCCAGAAAACATTTATGTAAAAAATGGAGTTTATAAACTTGGTGATTTTGGTTGTGCGACTGTCGTTGATAAAAGCTGGCTAATTGAAAAACGTGATGCTCGGTACATGCCCCAAGAAATCCTGAACGAGAATTATGAAAATCTAGACAAAGTTGATATATTCTCGTCAGGAGCTTCCATCTATGAACTTGCAAGAGGGTCACCGTTACCTGAATCAGGTTCTCATTTCCTTACTTTTAGGGAATGAAAGCTGCCCCTTCTTCCGTGTCGTTCAATCCCGTTTCAGAATTTAATCAAGCTAAATTACCTTCTGCTTTTATGATATGAAAAGTAGGTCTTAATCGAGGATATCCAATCTGTCTTTACTATTAATGTTTGATAATTTTGGTGAAAACTATCGTGATAATTATGTTAATATAACATTCGTTTCTTTGAGTTATATAGACTTGGTGTAACAACCTACAGAGCAAAATTAAAAATTCGAGTTTTCAGAAAACTATATGCAGGGAAAGCTTGAGTTGAGCATTTTAAATGTTAATTATTAATTTATAGTGAGCATGTTCGATAAAAGCGCTTTGCATTGCTACAGATTAACTTGCGTACTGGTATTCAATTTTCTTTTGATTTGTTAATCGTTCAGATGATGATTGATGCAGATCCTGTTCGTAGACCAACAACCAAAGAAGTAGTTAAGAATCCAGTTTCTTACACGACTGAGCAATTATCGAGACTCATTCACTCCAAGACGCATTGTCCGTAAACAAGTCTCGAGGGGGCGATTGTAGACGCATAAAGTTAATTAATTGGTTAATTAGCCAATTAAATTGCATCTAAATTAAATTATATCTTGTCTTGCAAGATAAGTCATGGAGATAATTATCAATTAATTATTGGCCAATAGGATTGTTTCTTCTCTTCCAAGTTATAAGAGATAAATATTAATTTAAAGAGAGCCAATCAAATCACGCCACGTCATCATGAAGACTTTATGTAGGACTCTAATTCTACCACTATAAATAGGGACCCTCCCTACACCATTCAAAACACAACTCAAGAAGAAGAAAAACTGTAGGAGAAATTCTCTCTACAATATTCAAGTCATCTTCATCAAACTCAAGTCATTCTTCATCAAATTCAAGGCATTCTTCATCAAATTGAGGGCGTTCTTAAAAAAATCAAGATCAAAGGAAGATTGAAGGGTCAAATCCATCAAGAACTCCAAGATCTTCAAGTCAAAGTTCGTCAAAGTTCAGCGTTCGATCCGAGATTCAAGTCGCAAGACCCTCGGAAGACGTTATTCAAATCCAAATCAAATCCAAATCAAATCCAGAGAAGATCAAGTCAACGACCCGACTCCGAAATTCAAGGTCGAACGCATATTGTTCTTGAGAGAAGAATCAGAGGATTGAATTAGAGTTTGTAATCCGCACTATTTTATTTTAATTCAATAAATTATCTTTCTGCAAGTTTTTCTTGTTTGTCTAAATCGCAGATAAGAAGTTGTTGTTACAAACTTTGGCACGCCCAGTGGGACATCTCTACCTCTCATCTCTTCTCTCTCTCGAAGATCCTCAAAGTGTTGCAGTGACTGCTCTACGTTCGCAAAGAAGACTGCTACTTCGGATTCATCAAGTGTAGGCTTTGTTACAAGAAGTATGGCTAAGAAGCTGCAAGCATCCTCCAAGACTAGCTCGACGCCCCAAACCGTTCAGAAAGGCTTACCACCTCTTGTCAACACAAGCGCGGACGTGGAAGGCTCAAAACGAGAGATTTCACAGCCCACGCCTCATTCAACATCAAGCTACTCAAAGGTGGCATCCATCATGACAACAAACGCTACAACCATGGAGGAGCAAATTGCAAGTTTGACAAAGGCCATTGAGGGACTCGCAAAGCATGTTCAACAACATGATTCTCAAATTGCCAAGTTGATCAACAAGATGGACAAAGTCGATGCTAGTCAAGCTGTGGAGAATGAGATAGAGGTTCAAGACGAAGTCAAGACATCCACAAAGCAACAGCTAGTTGAAAACGAGAAAGCTCCAGCTCAAGAACTTCAAGTTTCTTCCGAAGGGGTGATTCATGCAGATCAAGTGATGACGCTGATCAGTGGAGCTATGAAAGACAAGTTGGAAGGAAGCTCGAAGTCACCATCAACCTATGTCAAGCCATACACACAAAGAATTGATGATCTAAAGATGCCAATGG